AGATGGATGGATGGATGGATGGATTATATGATCATTAGAATGTACCTACTGATTTGCACTGCTCTGCATAATTATTGCTTGTGGCTTATAGATACGGTGTAATTCAATTATTTTGAATCCTGCAGTGATGGGACACTGGACTGTAAGGAGTACATCGTCGCGCTGCACCTGACCTCCTCTGGGAAGACCAAACAGAAACTGGAATGGGCGTTCAGCTTGTACGACGTCGACCACAACGGATCAATCACCAAGAACGTGATCCAAGAGATTGTCAAGGTGAGTCGTAGAGTCATTGTGAAATAGGTGTAAGAGATTAGATGTGTTAGCATCATGTTTTCCGTGCTGCTCAAATCTCTATAATGATGAAACAAACGTTCTGTTTATAGTCGATATTCAACATGATCTCCAAAGAGGACTAGAGGAATCTTCCTGATGATGAGAACACACCAGAGAAGAGAGCTGATAAAATCTGGGACTTCGTTGGCAAGAAAGAAAATGGTAAGCCTTGTTTTCATGTTTTAAGAATCACCCAAAGAATACTGTAGTTCACATAAATCTTTTTTCACAACTGCCACCAGTTGGCCCCAAAACATTGACAACAAAGACATATTGAAACTGTTGAGCGTGAAAAACCCAGCAGCGTTGCAGTTCTTGACACAAACCGGTGCGCCCGGCACCTACCACCATACACCGTTCACAGGCACTTAAATATTTTGTCTTGCCCATTCACCCTCTGAATGGCACACATACACAATCCATGTCTCAATTGTCTCAAGGCTTAAAAATCCTTCTTTAACCTGTCTCCTCCCCTTCATCTACACTGATTTAAGTGGATTTAACAAGTGACATCAATAAGGGATCATAGCTTTCACCTGGTCAGTCTATGTCATGGAAAGAGCAGGTGTTCTTACTGCTTTGTGCACTCAGTGTATATTTTACATATTATGTCCTTGAAAGTTGTTAATGTTTTCAGAATTCTGGTAGTTTATTTGTACATTTCTATAGTTACCAGTCACATTCCATCTCTTTGCAACCCTTTTAGCTCTTAATATGTTTCTCTTGTTGTGTTTTCATGTAGGCCTATTGTTTAATTTAATCAATCATTCATAAAATATATTGTATTGTATATTGAGCACATTTGCAATTTCTCTGGAGGATGACACCATTGCAGCTTCCCCCACCACCAGACACCTTGGTGTAACTTTTGACTCTAACCTCTCATTTGAAGCACACATCTGCAACATCAGATCAAATAAAATAAAATGTTATTTGGCACATGCTTTGTAAACAGCAGGTGTAGACTAACAGTGAAATGCTTAATTACGGGCCCTTCCCAACAATGCAGATAGAAAGAAAATAAAGAAATAATATAAAAGCGATAACACGTAATAATAAATACACAACAGTGGAGGCTGCTGAGGGCAGGATGGCTCATAATAATGGCTGGAACGGAGTAAATGGAATGGCACCATCACATGGTCACCATGTATTTGATGTATTTGATACTGTTCCACTAATTCCGCTCCAGCCATTACCACAAGCCCTTTCTTTCCAATGAAGGTGCAACCAACCTGCTGTAATACCCACGGAGTAACGATAACTTGGCTATATACACGGGGTACCAGTACCAAGTCGATGTGCAGGGGTACGAGGTAATTGAGGTAGATATGTACATACTGTATAACTAGGATTAAAGTGACTAGGCAACAGGATAGATAATAAACAGTAGCAGCGGAGTATGTGATGAGTAAAATAAAATAAAAGTTAGTGCAAAAAGGGTCAATGCAGATAGTCCGGGTAGCTATTTGGTTAAATATTTAACTAACTATTTAGCAGTCTTATGGCTTGGGGGTAGAAGCTGTTCAGGGTCCTGTTGGTTACAGACTTGGTGCATAGGTACTGCTTGCCGTGCGGTACCAGAGAGAACAATCTGTGAATTCTATAAAATCAAGAAAGTGTCATTTTTCCAAATGCATAACATCGCTCGGATCAGTTTGTTCTTGTCCACTGTGGAGTCTGAGAAGCTTGTGCATGCCCTGGTAACATGTTGGCCTGTTCAAAATAGGATCAAATTGAATATCATGGTTGATGCGCCTTCAGAAAGTATTCACACCCCTTAACATTTTCCACATTTTGTTGTGTTACAGCCTGAATTTAAAATGGATTACATTTAGATGTTTTATCACTGGCCTACACACATTACCCCATAATGTCAAAGTGGAATCATGTTTTTGGAAAGGTTTACATATTTAATAAAAAATGAAAAGCTGAAATGTCTTGACTCAATAAGTTTTCAAACCCTTTGTTATGGCAAGCCTAAATAAGTTCAGGAGTAAAAATTTGCTTAACAAGTCACTTGCATGGACTCACTCTGTGTGCAATAATAGTGTTTAACATGATTTTTGAATGACTACCTCATCCCTGTACCTTACACATACAATTATCTGTAAGTCCCTTAGTCGAGCAGTGAACTTCAAACACAGATTCAACCACAAAGACCAGGGAGGTTTTACAATGCCTCACAAAGAAGGGCACGTATTGGTAGATACAGTGTAGGTAAAAACAAAACAAAAAAGCAGACATTGAATATCCCTTTGAGCATGGTTGCCGGAGAGGAAGGAAACCACTCAGGGATTTCACCATGAGGGTGACTTTAAACCAGTTACAGAGTTGAATGACTGTGATAACTGAGGATGGATCAACAACATTGTAGTTACTCCACAGTACTAACCTAATTGACAGAGTGAAAAGAAGGAAGCCTGTACAGAATACAAATATTCCAAAACATGCATCCTGTTTGCAACAAGGCACTAAAGTAATACTGTAAAAAATGTGGCAAAGCAATTTACTTTTTGTCCTGAATACAAAATGTTATGTTTGAGGCAAATCCAATACAACACATTACTGAGTACCACTCTCCATATTTTAAAGCATAGTGGTGGCTGCATCATGTTATGGGTATGCTTGTAATTGTTAAGGACTAGGGAGTTTTTCTGTATACAAAAAACCCAGAATGGAGGCAAATTCCTGGAGGAAAACCTGGTGGCAGGTTGCCTAGCAGTTAGGAGTGTTGGGCCAGTAACTGAAAGGTCACTGGTTCGAAATCCCCAAGCCGACTAGGTGAAAATTCTGTCGACATGCCCTTAAACCTAATTGCTCCTGTAAGTCTGCTAAATGACTAAAATGTTTTTTTTTTTTTTAAATATGTTCTGTCTGCTTTCCACCAGACACTGGGAGATGAATTAAACTTTCAGCAGGACAATAACCTAAAACTCAAGGCCAAATCTACATTGGAGTTGCTTACCAAGAAGACAGTGAATGTACCTGAGTGGCCGAGTTATAGTTCTGACTTAAATTTACTTGAAAATCTATGGCAAGACCTGAAAATGGTTGTGTAGCAATGATCAACAACCAATTTGAAGAATTTAGAAAAATAATAATGGGCAAATGTTGCACAATCCAGGTGTGGAAAGCTCTTAGAGACTTACCCAGAAAGACTCACAGCTGTAATTGCTGCCAAATGTGCTTCTACAAAGTATTGACTCAGGGGTGTGAATACTTATGTAAATGACACAACAAAATGTGTAATAAGTCAAGCGGTATGAATACTTTCTGAAGGCACTGTACATATGCCAACCTCTAGAGAACTATTCCCCAGCACGCACCCTTCAATTATCTGACTAAATATCCTGGTCACACCAACCACAACCCTGCGCAGCATGGGTGACAGGGCCTTCTTACATGTGGCCTCTCAGCTCTGGAACACTCTACCTGTACATGTCACAGAGGCTGCTTCAATTTCCTAATTTAAAACACAACTAAAGACCTACCTATTCAAGCTAGACATGTTAAAATGTGATGTTTGATCGCCTCATTTGCTTAATATCTATATTTTGCATTAGTAGGTAATATTTTGATGTAATGTGATTTTCTACTTTTTCATGTATTGTTGCTGTTTCATTTTTTTCTACCTTATGTACATTGAGCATGGGAAATGCGCTCCACAAATTACATATTATTATTAATATTATTGTATTATTAATATTATTATTATGATTTGTTATTATTATAATTATTTTATCTGTTGTGATTCCTGTCCTCTCAGATAAGCTAACAGAGGGGGAGTTTATCCAGGGAGTGATGGACAACAAGAACATCCTCAGACTGGTCCAGTTTGATGAGCCACAGAACATCCAGGAGAGAATAAAGGAGATGAAACAGTAGCAGCCGAGTACTCCATAAAAAAAAAGTACTTTCACTTCATCCAGGTTAGTCTCTATGGGATAAAATCATCACATCAAGAGAGACCTGATGCTTGCAGTTTTTGTTATGTTTGTACTATAGTCAAGGATCAAATTGTTAAAAGTTTACAAGGGGTATGCTATGTTTTGTTGTTGTTGTAAAAGCAGATGTTAATTGGTCAATTCTTAGGACTACTGGGAGGCTTAGGCCTTAGATATATTCAGGATGCTTTGAACATTGTTATTATTATTATTATTATTATTATTATTATTATTATTATTATTATTATTAACATTGAATGAACATTCAAAACTTGACAACTTGGCTTGAGGTACTAAAAGTACAAAACAAAATACTTGAGGCATTTCCATATAGCCTTTTCTAATTTGTATGACTTACAACACTGTCCAGACATAGTTTAAAACAAGTAGTTGCATCGGCAAAACTGTGAAGAAGTGGAATAATAGAAGAAGTATGGAGAATAACAGTAGTGTTATTGCTGACATAAGCACACCCAATTACCCTATATTTTTGCCCATTGTAAGGAAAGAGTATTTTTCTACTGACTTACGTTAGCTATTGTGAAAGACTAAACAGATGTGTGGGAAATATGAGTTGGTCAAGGCTTGAGGCAAAAATGCAGACCAGAGCCTGCATTTGGGCCTGTTTTAATTATTGTTCATGTTTTGTTTAATTCAGGGCCCTAGGAAATTGTTGTTGCTTTGAAGCTAATTTCCTGCAATTCTACATAGTGTAAAATGACTCATGACATCTTATGTGTCGGCTATTACATTATAATTTATATAAACCGTCAAGTATCAATTTAGATAAACATATTTTTCAGAAAGTGATTAGCTCAATTGATAGCAACAGAGTCACACATTAGGCACTCCCCATCACACCAAAATAAGTCCCATCACCACCATTACCCTGGGCAGCCACTCCATCCCACTGTCTTCCTCCATCTCCAACCTTAGAGTGTTACTAGACCCCTCCCTCACTTTCTCCGGCCACCTAAAATCAGTCTGCAAAAAATCATTATTTCACCTGAGAAACATCACCCCGGCTTCGTCCTGTTCTCTCCAAACCTGATCTGGAAAAGCTGTTCAACTCCCTCGTCACCTCCCGACTCGATTACTGCGATGCCTTCCTTGGTGGTCTCCCCTCAAAAAGCACCCCCATTCTTGCCTCTCTCCACTGGCTACCCATCCAATTCAGAATCAACTTCAAAACCCTCAATGCCTTTGGTCCCCAATACCTCAGTGAACTCCTCAGCCCAAAACAGTCTTCACACTCACTCCTGTCAAATGATCAAAGACTCCTTGCAGTCCCAAAGACACACTTCAAAACAATGAGTGACCGAGCATTCTGCTGCCTCGGTCCCCGGCTCTGGAACGAGCTCCCCCCCATCTAAAGGTTTTTTATTTAAATGGTTTCTCTCAACGTAAATAGCTTTGTGATTTGCATCTGTAATTTATTATTATTATTACTTCTGTAAGGATGAGAATTGGATATTCTTGATTGATTAGAATGCCTCACGTGTGTCAATAAATTCCTGTCTATCACGTGAACTAATTTGGATGGTGGTTGCCTGAACCAGAGTAAAGTCACTTCCTGCTGAGCTCCTTATGCTGTCTCATGTCCAAGTCTTATCTTATAGCTGATGTTCCACTCCCCAAACCTTCCAAACAGCGCGTTACACTTCCAAAGTATTTTTTTAATTCATCGACTTTAGAAGGTCGTAACTCAGCCTCTGAATTTCATAGACAAACCAAAGATATCCACATGTGCATCGGAGTTGCGTCTTTCTCATGGAATTTACATCTTGTTTCTAGCCTAAAGAATTGCGGAGTAAAGCGTCGGTATAGATTGCTTAATATAATCAGGATCAATTTTTTTGCCTTCACATTTTTAAGCTAACAAGGTGTACACTTTTTGCCCTTTTTTCTAACAAGTGGTACGGCGTACCCCCGCATACCCCCTCAAATCGAGCGCTGACTATATTACTTGCACTTCTTCAAGTGTGCCATCTGAACAGCTTGTCCATGTGGTATCTGTTGTGTGTCGTTACCGTATACCTTTTTATTATTTAGTCATCAGTATCAGAGATTTGTTTCAAACACAAACGGTAATACAATATTCCTTTAATGTATTACTATACGTTTTTAGATATGACAAATACATAATACCCACATCATGCACATTAACTGTAACACATATCCTTTCCAATATCAACATTTTCTGACAACAAATAATTTACACTTACCTGTTAATGCTCTACTGTTTTGACTCCATTGGTTTGTGTTTTTATACCTGCAGCAAGTACCTTTATGTGATAAAGTTTCTTTGAGTAATTTGATTGTTTTTCTGATAAAAAGTATGTACATAAATATGTGTACAAAACATTAAGAACACCTTTCTAATATTGAGTTGCACCCCCTTTTGCCCTGAGAACAGCCTCAATTCATGGGGGCATGGACTCTACAAGGAGTCGAAAGCGTTCCACAGGGATGCTGGCCAATGTTGACTCCAATGCTTCCCACGGTTGTTTCAAGTTGGGTAGTGGACCATTCTTGATACACACTGTTGAGAGTGAAAAACCCAGCAGCGGTGTAGTACTTGACTCAAACAGGTGCGCCTGGCACCTACTACCATACCCCGCTCTAAGACAGTTACATCTTTTGTTTTGCCCATTCACCTTCTGAATGGCACACATACACAACCATGTCTCAAGGCTTAAAAATCCTTATTTTTCCTTTCTCATCCCCTTCATCTACAATGATTGAAGTGGATTTAACAAGTGACATCAATAAGGGATCATAGCTTTCACCTGGATTCACCTGTTCAGTCTATGTCATGGAAAGAGGTGTTCCTAATGTTTTGTACACTCAGTGTATGTATTATGATTTATCATTAAACTCATATTTGTAATAGTGGCACATTACTCACATACACGCAAACAAAATGATACACAAAGGTACCATACAAAGAATCTGTACAAAGATACAACAACACCAATCTCATTGTGATATGCCAGACGTGACCCTTGTCTATCCAAGCAAGGACTTGTATCGCGTCCTCGCTCCTCGCCTCCTCAAACCCCATTGGATTAGAAAGCCAGGGTTCTACCCTCTGACTTTCTCCTCGAATGGGTTTTGAGAAGGAGGCGAGGAGAGAAGACGCAAGGAGTATGCAATTGAGATTCTCCCCATCTGTCAGGAGACAAGGCACCTTAACAGTTCATAACAGTCTGGAAAGGGAGGGAGCAGGGTTGGGGAGTAACTGATTACATGTAATTAGTTACATGTAATCTGATTACAAAAAACTAACTGTAATCAGTTACGTTACCAGCAAAAATATTGTAATCAGATTACAGATACTTTTGAAAAACAAGAATCTTTTTTATTTTTTTTGTCATTTAGCAGACGCTCTTATCCAGAGCGACTTACAGGAGCAATTAGGGTTAAGTGCCTTGCTCAAGGGCACATCGGCAGATTTTTCACCTAGTCGGCTCGGGGATTAGAACCAGCGACCTTTCGGTTACTGGCACAACGCTCTTAATCACTAAGCTACCTGCCGCCACAGATGACTACTTCTTGGATTACTTTTAAATTCACAAATGAAGTTTGTTTCGGTTTTCTCAGTGACAATCAATTCCGCATTGAAAAAAGGTGCCAGTTTGTTCCACCTGAGCGAGTCTGACCACAAGTCAGAGACCACTATGATGACACCAAATGCGTTCGATGGATCCTTTTCGTCTTCTTCTAATGCCTCTTCAGGGGAAAGTAATCCAAAAGTAACTGATAGTAATCAGATTGTTACTGAGTTTGGGTAATCCAAAAGTTACATTACTGATTACAATTTTGGACAGGTAACTGTAACAGATTACATTTAGAAAGTAACCTACCCAACCCTGACCAGGAGTATCCACAAGATGGAGGAGGTCAGAACTCGCTCTCCTCCAGTATCTCCTCCATGGTCTCTCCCAGCGTCATCTCACCATCGCTACTTGACAGGCTCTTCCTGGTGTGGAACTCCAATCCTCCCATGTTTCTCTCCCTATCTCTCCACCCTGCCACCTCCCCTCCTTCCCCCTCTCGTCGGCCTCCTTCCCCCTGCAAGGCCACCTGCAGCAAGTGTGAGTGTGTGGAAGGGCCACCCCCCTCCTCGAATGATTCGCTCTGCTGGGAGCCGTGTGTGCGTCGGCCTCTGGAGCACTTCCACAGGTGTTTGAGGGGCTCGCCCCGGAAGTTGATGCAGGGCGTGACCTGGAAGTGGTTCGTGAACAGGAAGAGCTGCCATCGCTTTTTCAGCTCCGCCTGGAACTGGAGATAACAGATTTTTAATTGTGTTTTTATTTTTATTTATTTATTATTTTCTATTACGATTATAACGATTTGTTAAGCTAACACTTAGGCTAAAGTAAATTGAACTGCTAGTTTGTGGATAGTTACCTCTCCATTGGCGAAGCAGTACAGCACAGAAACCAAGAATCCCTGAGAGAGAGGTATGACACATATAATGATTGTATTCAAGGTAACAAACATTAGCGTTTCTCTACCGGACCATTTTCCAATTGCATTATTATCAAGACAAATTTCTCCCTCTAAATGTAGTTCTTAATGGGATCAGGATGTTTTCCTTTCTTTACTCAACAGGAACATAAATCAACGGAAACATATTCAAACATCTTTGTTATGGTCTTGTGGAAGGTGGCCATTTTGTTTTCAGCTCTTACCTGGAAGGAGCTGAGGGTGAGGTTAATGAAGTTCCTGGCATAGCGGCTGCTTCCCTCCACACTCTCGTCTATCAGTATAGTGAAAACTACCTCGTGGATCCCCAGTAGAGGGATCAGGACTAGCGTAGCCCTGGCCAAGCTAACATAGAAAAGGAAAGGAGTTTTGGCATTCAGACAGTACTGAGGTTCAAATAAAATAGTTGCTTGAGGGTGCTGGGTACTCCTGTCACAGTTCAGAGTAAACCTTTAGAGGGACAGTAGCCTACCTGTATCTGTAGTCTGTGAATTTCACTTGATCTGCCTTTAACTTTGAGAGCAGCAACATTAGTATTTTGATGAATATGTAGAAAATGACCTGCAACACAAATCAATTATATATTATTTTCTGAATAAACAGTAAGAGATGCTTATGTTGTGTAAAAAGTAAACTGTGTCTTTAAGAGAAGAAACCCTATCTTATTGGGATCAGTGCACTCTAACAATTCTACCCTATATGACATGCTTGTGACAACCACTGCTCTGGCTGATGTCTATGTCACATGGTCTCAACTATTGATCTTAGACATCCCAAAATCAGTGTGAAATCACTGGAAAGCTCACGAGCTGATGCCCCAAGTGTGTCAGTCTTGTGCAATTTTGGCGTACACTGTAGAGTCATATGGTTTGATAGACGATTTATAATTGTCTCATGTTCTTAGATATCAGTGGAGCCTTAGTTGAGTGGTGATACAGGGGGTTGCTATAGGTTATATATTGTAGGTTGCTACTCACCAACACAGATAAAGTGATGGGTCCCCTTATTATCCACCAGATCCATCTATTCTTATTGGCCCAGCACCTTAGGACAGGAGAGATTCAAACAAGATTTGGGCCTACAGCATCAGCTTGTATCATAGACTATTGGGTATTTACACAGATCAGTACTGATTGATTACTTTATGCGAACAGACAGAAATATGATCAGAAGTCTTGAAATGAGTGGTGGAAATGCTCCCAAAATACTTACCCTTTATTTTCATATAAAGCTTTGGTTACTGTCCATGGCACCACAAACACAAATGGAGTACCTTTAGGAAGAAGAAAAAGTATTTTGTTGCCATAAATTGTCAATCTATCTTCATTAGAGCCTTACCCTAGCCAATGAACATGTGCCTTTCAAACATTAGAGCCTTACCCCAACCAATCAGAATGTGTCTTTTAAACATTAGCGCATTACCTCACCCAATCAGCATGTATCTTATAAACATTAGAACCTTACCCCAGCCAATGAGCATGTATCGCTTGAGCAGCCGTCTCTTGGTGAGGACGGCGGTGAAGAGGAGGGTCTGGAGGAAGATGGCTTCCACCAGGAGCCAGAAGTAGTTACAGGCTACAAAATACTCCATGAACACCCGGGAAGCCTTACATACCACCATTATCTACAGGAAGAGGAAAGATTAGATGAAATATGATAATTACAGTGCCTTATTATTCTTGTTGAATAAATGTATCTTACATCATAGTTTCTTGTGACAGACGTTAACGTAAGAGCACACCTGAGATTTGGTTCTGGGTGCCAGGATTTCTTATATCATAAGAAATAAGTATTCTGAAGGTCAGCATGGACGAAAATGCAATGTTTTTAATGATTTTCTTAACTAACTCTACAGGACATGAGTACCACTGAGTTGGAGTATGAGTTCCACCCTGGGTCGTCGCTGGGTAGTTTGGTGTACATGACATGTAACACGATCTCCTTTATGAAGACTGCAATGGCTCTCAACATGAACGACACAAACAGATTCATGTGGATGTAGTTCCTCGTACAGTGGAGCTTCCTAGAAGAGACAGAGGTTGGCATTGACTCAAACCCACCACTGACTATTTAGTGTGGAAATTGATTTTGTGATTATGTTACGAAGATGAATGCTCAGTACATGGGCAATCCAATGTAGTTTATAGTGATCAATAGCATCATCTGTAATCTTGTCATCCTGCCTCCCCTGGTATCTGTTTTATATTTGATTATCAATGAATGACATTGAACACTGACCAGTGGGTTTGAATCGATGCCATGACTAAGGAGTATGTCATTGCTTTGCAATTGTGTCATCGCCCTACGATAGTAGAATTAATCATAATCATCATCAACATGTGCTTAACCCCCGGATCCCTGAGCTCTAGCAACTTGACACTAACCTGAGAATGCCCATGAGTAGAGTGGCCAGAGAAAGGGAGGAGAGGGACAGAGAGTAGCCGACGATGGAGATGACTCTCAGGGCTGCTTGGCGAAACAACTCATCCTCCTGGAAGACACAGACAAGGAAAATAAAAGGTGAAAAAGAGGCAATTGACCTCAATCTCTGAAACTCACTTAGATAATACCTTTGATGATAAAGTGGTAACAATACATGGTTATAACATCTGCAGAAAAGACAGAAATGCCAAAGTTGGAGGTGTTGACGTTTATATTCAGAACCACATTATTGTAAAGCTTAGAGAGGATCTCATGTTAAATACTGTTGAGGTAATATGGCTACAGGTTCATCTGCCTCACCTAGTATGGCTACAGGTTTATCTGTCTATAGCAGCTTCCCGCCCATTCTGGTGGGAAGCTGCTATAGACCACCAAATGCTAATGTATGTGATATCAACAGAGAGGTATATTTTCTGGGTGATTTAAATATTAACTGTCTTTCATCAGGCTGCCCACTCAAGAGAAAGCTTCAAACTGTAACTAGTGCCTGCAACCTGGTTCAGGTTATCAGTCAACCTACCAGGGTAGTTACAAACAGCACAGGAATGAAATGTATTGATGACATCTTTACTAATGCTGCAGAAATTTACTTTAAAGCAGTATCCAAATCCATAGGATGTAGTGATCACAATATAGTAGCCATATCTAGGAAAACCGAAGTTCCAAAGGCTGGGCCTAATATAGTGTATAAGAGGTCATACCATAAGTTTTGTAGTGATTCCTTTGTTATTGATGTAAATAATATTTGTTGGTCTGTTGTGTGTAATGAGGAGCAACCAGACGCTGCACTTGACACATTTATGAAATTGCTTATCCCAGCTACTAATAAATATGCACCCATTAAGAAAATGACTGTAAAAACGGTTAAATCCCTGCAGATTGATGAGAAATTGAAAAATTGTATGGTTGAGAGGGATGAGGCAAATATAATGGCAAATAAGTCTGGCTGCACAACCGATTGGCAAATGTACTGCAAATTGAGAAATCATGTGACTAAAGTGAATAGAAAGAAGAATAAACTACACTATTAAACAAAGATAAATGGCATAAAGAATTATAGTAAAAAGCTTTGGAGCACCTTAAATGAAATTATGGGCAAAAAGGCAAACTCAGCTCCATCATTCATTGAATCAGATGGCAATATCAGTGGGTTTTGTGATGAAAAAGCCAACTACTTAAGTGATTTTTTCACTGGCAAAATTAGCAAACTTAGGCATGACATGCCACCAACAAACACTGACACTACACATCCAAGTATAACTGATCAAATTATGAACGACAAGCATTGTAATTTTGAATTCCTTAAAGTGAGTGTGGAAGAAGTGAAAAAATGATTGTTGTCTATCAACAATGACAAGCCACCGGGGTCTGACAACTTGGATGGAAAATTACTGAGGATAATAGCGGACGATATTGCCACTCCTATTTGCCATATCTTCAATCTAAGTCTACTAGAAAGTGTAGGCCCTCAGGCCTGGAGGGAAGCAAAAGTAATTCCGCTACCCAAGAATTGTAAAGCCCCATTACTGGCTCAAATAGCCGACCAATCAGCCTGTTACCAACCCTGAGTAAACTTTTGGGAAAAAATGGTGTTTGGCCAGATACAATTATATTTTGCTGTAAACAAATTGACAACAGACTTTCAGCACGCTTATAGGGAAGGACATTCAACAAGCACAGCACTTACACAAATGACTGATGATTGTCTGAGAGAAATAGATGATAAAAAGATTGTGGGGGCTGTTTTGTTAAACTTCAGTGCGGCTTTTGACATTATTGATCATAGTCTGCTGCTGGAAAAACGTATGTGTTATGGCTTTACACCCCCTGATGTAGTGTGGATAAAGAGTTACCTGTCTAACAGAACACAGATGGTGTTCTTTGATGGAAGCCTCCCTCTCCAACATAATCCAGGTAGAATCAGGAATTCCCCAGGGCAGCTGTATAGGCCCCTTACTTTTTTCAATCTTTACTAACGACATGCCACTGGATTTGAGTAAAGCCAGTGTGTCTATGTATGCGGATGACTCAACACTATACACGTCAACTACTACAGCGACTGAAATGACTGCAGCACTTAACAAAGAGCTGCAGTTAGTTTCAGAATGGGTGGCAAGGAATAAGTTAGTCCTAAATATTTCAAAAACTAAAAGCATTGTATTTGGGACAAATCATTCACTAAACTATAAACCTCAACTAAATCTTGTAATGAATAATGTGGAAATTGAGCAAGTTGATGTGACTAAATTGCTTGGAGTAACCCTGTATTATAAACCGTCATGGTCAAAATATGTTGATACAACAGTAGCTAAGATGGGGAGAAGTCTGTAAATAAATAAATAAATAAAGCGCTGCTCTACCTTCAACAAGGCAGGTCAACTGTCAACAAGGCAGGTCCTACCGGCCCTAGTTTTGTCACACCTGGACTACTGTTCAGCCGTGTGGTCAGGTGCCACAAAGAGGGACTTGTAATTGGCTCAGAACAGGGCAGCGTGGCTGACCCTTAAATGTACACAGAGAGCTAACATTAATGATATGCATGTAAATCTCTCATGGCTCAAAGTGGAGGAGAAATTGACTTCATCAGTACTTGTTTTTGTAAGAGGTGTTGACAAGCTGAATGCACCGAACTGTCTGTTTAAACTACTAGCACACAGCTCGGACACCCATGCATACCCCACAAGACATGCCACCAGATGACTCTTCACAATCCCCAAGTCCAGAACAGACTATGGGAGGCACACAGTACTACATAGAGCCATGACTACATGGAACTCTATTCCACATCAGGTAACTGATGTAAGCAGTAGAATCAGATTTTTTTTTTAAAGATACAAACAGTGGCGGCTCCTGAAAAAATTCTCAGGAGGGGCAATTTTTCTGATGATTTAGGTGACCTACACACATTTAAAAAAAGATATGTCCAGCAACAACATGAAGACAGGGGCAGCATATAAGTCAATACCAGAAGCATTTATTGACTGATCTCAAAAGTGTTGGCTTACCAGGGTTGGTGGAGCCCTCAGTTTCATCTTTGCCTCGCAAAGCTAACTCAAACACTCCGCAAAACTTCACACACTGGATTAGCCGGCTGAGGATGTGGCGGTTCTTGCTAATGTCGTAGTAAATATATTTGTTATAGTGAATATGGAATATGATATGTTGAGTAAAATGTTGTGCTAAGATCTATTTAGGTCAGGAGCTGGTTATAAGTTCTGTTCCTATCCAATAACAATGGACAAAAGGGTCCTATCTTGTCAGCCTTGTCAGCAGGTGGCCAAGGACAACACCCACGCCATAGGCCTCTCAGTTCTTCCAACTCACGAGTTCTTGCTCTGAGGACACACACACACACAAACACACACACACACACACATCATCACTGTTAAACACACACACACACACATCATCACTGTTAAACACACACACACACACACAAAAATCCCCTCTCTTAGGCTGAACATTTGAAGACAGAGAACCCGACTCAGAGCCAATGCAACAGTGACAGTAGCCTGGAGGTGACCTCGCCCAACTCATCAGGACCAATCAGAAGATCAGAACTACTAGATTGAACCTACTTCATTTATTGCATAAAATGTCTGCACACAATGTTTCGGGGCTCTCTTCAGATAATAATAATAATAATAATAATAATATGCCATTTAGCAGACGCTTTTATCCAAAGCGACTTACAGTCATGCGTGCATACATTTTTGTGTATGGGTGGTCCCGGGGATCGAACCCACTACCTTGGCGTTACAAGCACCATGCTCTACCAGCTGAGCTACAGAAAGTGGATACTCATGGATGCGCATTGCAATTGTAAAATGTCAACACAATTGGAGACACCACGTCATTTTTGGAGACATGTTATTGACAGTAAACTATTGTAGATGCGACTGCTAACTAAATAAAACATTTTAGCTGGCTAGCTAATCATCTTAGCTAAATGTGGGGCAAACAATTCAGTTATTTACCGTTAATTTGAGGGATTGGGGTGAAAGAAATCGAGTTACATAGTGATACTTTACGATATACTGTATTGACAATATCGCAATATTTTAGCGCTAGTTGGCTGTACCTGCACCAAAACACCATTATTGTTCCTTCATAGCTTGTTCTCAATCTTTTCACATTGGGAGCCAATTTGTTTTCAGCACTTTTATTTCCATGACTGATCAAAACTCGTTCTCATGGCTTTCTGATCCCTCTGCAACAGACATATGGTGCGCAATAAAATCACAGTATCGAATCGCAATACGTATAGAATCATGAGACTCGCAATGCTGATGCATATATCTTATCGTGAGGTTCCTGGCAATTCCCAGCCCAAGTTCATTTGCCACAACAAATCTCTTCGCTAGCAAACGCGATGTCTTCTCCAAAACGGCAATGTGTCTCCAGCAATGTTTACTTTTTTGACGTTCTATGGCATCTCCACTTTCCAAGCATATATGACCACATGTAATATTTTGGTAAGTGATGCAAATAGTGAACTATGTAGGGCCAGGATGTAAAATATATGTAGCTGCAGCAATTTCTCTTATCTGATATGGTAAGTAATGGGGCTTAATTTATAGCTCCCTAAGAGTTTGACGAACGGGTCCGTGAACGCGATTCCAGATATATTTACCTCTGAATAAACTGCCTTTATTACACCATATCCACCCTGTCCAAAGTCTCTACTTGGTCTCAGTTGGTTCTCCAGTAAACTTGTGATTATCAACACTAACCTCATCGTTGTGGCGGCGGACAGCTAGCCTGTATCCCTCGTCATCCAGTTGAGTGAGTGGCAATGTCTTTTTTCGTTCGTACCAATTTTTGGAAAATCCTCGGGTGTAGGACTTTCCGCCTTTAGTAGAAACCTGTTGAATTATTAAATTTGGTCTGGGAGGTCCTAATTGTTTCGTTGCCAATTTATCTTCATTTGTTCGCCGACAAAAAGGAACTTCTTTCAAACAATCCACTCTTTTCTCAGTTACGTTCATGGTTACGTCACGTATGACGAAAGCGCGTAAGTGCAAGCCCACAGACACCCATAGAGAATGTATTGAAAGCTTTGAAATTTGAAAAAAATTGATTTTACATGACAGGCTATGAGAGACTTCTGGGCGATTTTCAACTTGACTGAAATCGCCCCAAAAACGGGCGGGGCCATTTGAAGCACGACTTTAGCCTGATTTGACATTTAGTGGCTGGCAGATCAGACGTGAACACTGATAACTGCTGTTGCCGTGATATAATTGATTAGAAAAAAATCCCTTCCTTTTCCCGTTTGGCAGTGCGTCGCCCATATCGCCCTATTGAACAGGCCGTCCCTGGATACAAATACACCTTATGGAACAGCGGGGACTGTGGAGAGACACACACACATGTACAGACACACGCATATGCACACGGGCACTGGCACACGCACTCTACGCACACGTACATTGTAATTTTGTTGTATAGTGGTCATGGATATGTGGTGGTGTGACAATGTTACATGATGTACTGTTTTATCTTGTCTTTTATGTGTAATATAAGTGTCTTAATGTGTTTGGACCCCAGGAAGAGTAGCTGCTAACGGGGATCCCTAATAAAATACAAATGGGACATTCTGCTTTTTAACTGGAATATGATTTATTGTTGACATTTCAGTTGCAAGGCCTTTTCTAAATGCAAGGCAAGTCTCCTCTGTTTCCTTTCACAGCCTTTTCCTCACCTCGGCTTTAAAGTAGTATGGTTCATCACATTCTGTCTTGTCCCGCCAGGCTTCCGTAGAATTCTCCTGGAGTCGCCAACACCCATTGGATAGACACTCCCTGTACACACTCCTGGAGTCATCTGGGTCAGGAAGACAAGAGGAATCAATAGATTGGTTAATGAGAGATGTGCTCACGTTCCAACCATGTTGGAAGGCACGTTTAACTATGCTTCTACTTCTGTGGGGTACTATATGAAATGTTATGATGTTGTGTTGTGCAATCACATGACATTATAGATATGGAATGTATGGATAAATGTGATATGAAGCCTCCAGACTCACCCTTTGTAATCCAGGGAAGGTAGGAAGGACAGGGCACTGACACGTTACCGGGGGCTGAGTGGGGCCAACACACAAACACGTCAAACGTCCCATTACAATAGATTCCTGAAAGGACAAACAAGTAAAGAGTAAGAGACAAACAGAAAAGTACATGAATAATAATGTGCTATTGCTTAACTCAAAATGAATTTCCATATAGATCAATTGCTGCACTGACAGTCTGGCCGCAATTAAATTACAATACACATTGTATCAGAAACATACTACATTGATACATGGAACTGGCCAGGGCCAAAAATAAACTGATCACCAGTTTCTGAGAAGATGCTTTCTGCTAAAATCCTGGTGCAGTTCTCCCTATATGCATTCCGTTTGCAGATCAACTCTTCAAGCGTCATCTTCATGGCGTCAGCTAATGGGGGAACCTAATAAAATAAAATCAATCACAGAGCCCACCACCTTTCATGTCAAATAAGACAGTTAAAAAGAGAGGAATATTTTATGATAAACTATACATTTTAACCACCCCCAACAACGTGCCAGGAAGACTGAGGGGGATGTGGTTTTAGTGAGAGTCCACAAGATGGCAGTATTTGAGTAGAATTCCTGCTGAGGTATCTAACTACAAAACCTCAATCGTCGTTGTTAGGAGTCTGTGTAGGCAATTTCACAAGCCTAGGGCTCAATTCAATCCGTATTGCTGAAGTTCAGCGCTGTAGTGCGATTTAAATGTAAAGGTAATTTCCGATTGAGCCGACATATGCAAGGTTAACCGTGAATGCAGTCTCCGCAGATGCAGGAACATTGTCTTTAATTTTAAATTGCGCTATAGCGCTGAACTTCGGCGATACAGATTGAATCGAGACCCTAATGTCATGTGATCTAAACTAATAGAAGTAAATGCACCTGTTTCATTTACTCTGAGGAGAGAAATCAAAATGGGAGATTTAACCACCAGTAACTCAGTTAGGCTGCGCTTACACAGGCAGCCCAATTCTGATCTTTGGACAATTATTTGCATGTCTGATATCTATCTGATCTTTCCCTAATGTGTAAACATTCAAAAAAACTACATGGAATCTGATCTTTTGACTTTTGATTCATACCACCTCCATATGGCTGCGTTTACACAGCAGCCCAATTCTGATCTTTTACCCAATTATTGGTATTTTGACCAATCAGATTAGATATTTTGTAAATGATTGGGCAAAAGATCAGAATTAGGCTGCCTGTGTAATCTGAATCCTGATACAAACCCAATCCTCCATATGTGACCTCTGTCTGGACGCTCAAATCAGATTTTTTTGCTCTTAAGTGGTTTGATGCTGAGTTCATAACCAAGTGGGAAGGTGGTCATTACCAGTTGTGAATTCGTAAATACCAGTTGGATGCATTCACGTGCTTTGAACTCATTGAGAAACGTTGATTGGCTAATGGCCAACAAGCTGTAAGTACAGCCATCATGATTGTAAATAAATTATAGTGTTCAAAAAACTTATTAATATATTTTTATAAACCATGTTTTGTTTTTACATTTAACTTCCGAAAATCCTGCCAAAAATGCTTATCGAAGGTAATTTCCTTAGTAGGTGATGTCAGAGGTCAGCATGTGGGAAAAGTCGGAGCTCAGGGATGATAGACGAGTTTCCAACTAATAATTACGAGGAGGGGCGTTCAAGTGGATTTTTCCCAGTCGTATGTGGTAAATACCACCTTCCCACTTGGTTATGAATTCATCATTATTGCACACGACCTGACATTACCATGACAACCACCCCAAAATGTACAGTAACAGTGATGGGAAATGAGCATTACATCTGTTTGCTACTTCAGAGGCTACATCAGTGTGAATGCGCAAATCTGATATGGGTCACATGTAAAACTATGTGTGGACAGTCAAGAAAAATATTCTGAAATATAAATGAAATCAGATTTGGGTTCTTAGGGTGGCTGTGTAAACACAACATATGCTTGGTCCAAAATGTAAAGATACTGCCCAGTGTTTCCAGATTTCTATTAAATATTACCTATATATTTTCCTTCCAAAATTGTTTAATGAAGTATGTTAAAAATCAGCTTTTCTGTGTTGCAATGGTGTGAGCTTACCCCAACAACAGAATGGTGAATGGTGTGGGTGTATACCAGTTGTTAAAAATATTCATGCAAGTAGACCGCTGATTGGCCAGCTCATCCTCTTCTAGACCGCTGATTGGCCAGCTCAAGAGATTACGTTATATTCTATGAGGAAATAGCAAGCATTTTTTAAATGGTCTGTTTGAGATACAAGTTTGAGGTGGGGTTTTTGAGATGTTTTTTCTCCAATTTATACTTTGGCCACAAATATGAGTATAGGATGAGTCAACAACATTATTTGGATATTAACTTTGAAAGGTAACTGAGCAGTTACTTTAAGATATCTTACCACATGATTTGGCAATGTTCTTTAGAAATAAAACATTGACAAAATGTAATAAATTCAATTATTCTAGTGACAGACCAACACTTCTCTTCTGTTTGTAAAGTAAACAGAGAATCAAGGTTTTCCCATTTAGAATCTGTTATTCCACAGGTGGGGTGCAGTACCATAGAAATATAATCCAATGGATTCTATTTCTATGTGCGGTACTCTTTCTCTGACTAACATTCCCTGCCTTGCCTTCACACTGCAGTGGGGATACATACTGTATATCTATCTGAACTGTGTAACCTCCCTGTGCCTGTCCGTTCTATTCCCCCTCCACCACCACCTGTTCCACTGTGATCTGTCCTATCCTAGGAGCTCCCTGACTTTCTAACGCTTCAATTGACCCCTTCTGTCTCTTGTCATCAGGTTGTCTGGACAGCAGTTATCACAGAGGAGTGTGTGTGTGTGTGTCTGTCTGTCAGATCTCTCACTACTATCTGGGGTGAAAAGAAGGTACAGGGGCTCTCCTCTACCTTAAGAGAAAATGTTTTAAAATCCACTGAGACACTTAAGGGATTCTGAGCTTAACTCAGTTACAGATTGAGAGAGTGCTGATATAATTGAGGGCCTCGGAATCAAATCCGAGAGATCTCTGCTGAGATCATGTTTATCATATAATATGTAGCTACTATTGAGTAAAGGGATGTACTTACAGTAAGTACCCAAGGTAATACTGAAGGCATAGAGTTTTAGGAGTTACTCAGATAGAATCATACTTTGGAAATTTGTCGGTACATTTTATGTGCTGTATACTGTATGTCTGTTTCTGGCTGTTCTGGTACATGTTGTGTGCGCCAGCAGATTTTGTGATAATATTTATGTCTGGAGTGATATCTATGGATATATGTGCGCCATGCCATGCAACCCAGTACATTATCATATAGCCACGTTGCTAAGCAACTCCAAAGTTCTTGCATATCCCAGTCGCATATCTGTTAAAAAAACAGATTTCAAACCATAAATTCAGGCCTTATCATCTCACTGTGTCAGTGTTTATGGTTTTAAAGTTCAACGGTAGCAATTCATCCTCTCAATCAGATAAAGGATTTAATCAAATTATGTTTCTCTGTTGTCAGGTTGGAATATTTGTGAGATTACTTCAGTACACTTTTTTAACAGAACATTTGTTTTTTAATATTTTAATTAATATTCTATATGGATTTTAGGTACTATATATGTTCAAATAAATGCTCAATTACGTTTTTATTTTTTACTGACCCTCCTGTGCTGACAGAGAAAACAAGTAAGAAAAGTTGTTAAATATAAAATGGCTCCAAAACTGGTTTACAATCAATATTCTGTAGAAATTGTATTCAGATTAATACATGCACATGTGTGTGTCCTGCGTTTGTGTGTGTGTGTGTGTGTGTGTGTGTATATATATGGGCGGCAGGTAGCCAAGTGGTTAGAGAGGCGAGCCAGCAACCGGAGAGTCGCCAGTTTGAGTCCTGGGTCTGACCGGAAAAAATCTGGTGGGAAGTGAGCTGGCAACCGGAGGGTTGCTGTTATCAAATCCTAGATGCCATTGCCTGCCATTGTACATTGAGCAAGTCACTTAACCTGTTTGTGTGTCTTTTTTGGGGATTGGGATAAACCAGATGTCACATTTTGGTTGGACCTTGTGCACAACTGACAAATAAAGTGATCTTAATATTAATGTGTGTGTGTGTGTGTGCGCGCAGCTGACCATCTTACCTGCAGACTGGAGAGGAGCAGTAGGAATAAAGGAGAGAGAGTGGTACTCCCCAGTGCCCACCCCCCTCTGTGCCAGGCTGGTCGTAGCATGAGTATGGCGCTTTGTTTACATATAAGCTGGATGGCACCTCAAGGACCCGCCTGCCATCGATGCCCTCTTCACACTCATCCTTGTCTTAGCTCTCAGCATCCACACCACACGGAACCAACACATGGACACAAGCCTCTTCTCTAAAGTGTCCAGTCCTTTCACCAATGTGGTTTTCCAGGTAAAGATGATTTGAGACTTGTGAACGATTTATGTGCTTGGTTAAGCTGACTTACTCACGGTGTAGGCTGCTCTCAGTGTTTGGCTTCTAAGCTGATTTTTGAAAGGCAGTCTTCTCTCTTCTATGTAGGCTCGCCTCGAAACAGTGGGTTTTCGTGTAAAGATGATTTGTGATTGGTTTAGGTAAATCTTTACAGGTGCCTGGTAGAGATGGAGCCTGCTTCTCTCCTGTTTAGGATCGGTGTTTCACTTCTTTTAGGTGTGGTTGATATTCTAAAGGTAAATTCTTCCTGTAGCTCTAATGTTTTGGGAATAAAAGGTGTTCTTCTCTTGGTTGACAGATGTTTAGTAAAGATATCCAGGCACTTATTCTAGTTGTGGTTTCTTTTGGAGCAATGTTCTCCATTTCATTGAGGCTTTAAACGAGACACTCCTTTTTAAGTTGTGATCAGTTTGGTAAAGTTTTCTCTGACATCTCTCCTAGTTTTAGTATTTGATAAAGTTGTCCTCTGTCCTAGTTGACGTACGTTAATAAAGTTGTCCTCTGTCCTAGTTGATGTGTGTTAGTAAAGTTGTCCTCTGTCCTAGTTGACGTACGTTAGTAAAGTTGTCCTCTGTCCTAGTTGACGTGTGTTAGTAAAGTTGTCCTCTGTCCTAGTTGACGTGTGTTAGTAAAGTTGTCCTCTGTCCTAGTTGACGTGCGTTAGTAAAGTTGTCCTCTGTCCTAGTTCACAAGCGTTAGTAAACTTGTCCTTTGTCCCTCACCTAGTTGACGTGTATTAGTAAAGTTATCATCATCTTCTTAGTATTTGGTAAAGTTGTCTTTGGCTCGTCTGCCTGTCGCTGTGTGTTTGGTTAAGTTGTCTTCGTCTCAGGCTGTGTCTTAAGGGTTCTGTTGTCTGTCCTCCCTGATGACCTGAATGCGACTGAACAAGTCTGTGGATCCTCACCCATCAGTCTGCCTCCCCCTTTTCTCCGCCCGGCCTTGTCCCAGCCAATCAAGATAAGACAAGGGAGAGCTATTTTACTAGAATGACTTTATAGTCCAGGAGGGGAACGCACACACAAGCAGAAAGTATACACACACACGCACACATGCATGCACACACACACACACACACAGCCACATCATAAGGTGTGCAGTGTTGATCCCTGACTGGGGCTAAAGGTTCAGTGGCAGTTTTATGTGGGTGGTTCTCTCACAGTAAGAGGGCCTCATCAACAGTATTTGACACTAATGGGATCTCTGTGTGGTCTAATGGATCTACAAACGCACCACAGGGGCTGCAGGGGCCATGACCAAACACACAGGATGGATCATAAGCCAGAGAAACATGTTGTACTACTGTTCATGCACTGTGCAGATGGTGCAGCCAAAATAATACATCTCTAATAAATCAAATCAAACTTTTCCAAAGTGTACTATAAGTTTAACAATAAATAGCACATTATATACAAAGAGAGGGGGTTTAAAACTATGTGTGGAAGTAAACTACATTCATCAGACATTTAGAAAGAAAGATAAAAGCTAATCAATAGATAACCTTATTTCACTATTACATCACTGTGTAAACAATGTGCTATATGAGGATGGTTGATTATAGTGTTATTTACCACCTTGTTTACAGCGTTATTTACCACATTGCTTACATGTTGACATAATAGTGAAATAGGGTTATGAAAGAGAAAAAGGAAACTTTGTTCAAGATAAAAAGTTATAAACGCCTATAATAAAAGGGAAACATTACCTAGAGGAAGATAAGATATATGGAGGAAGATATGACAATTCTCCCAGTCCCCACCGATCAATGGTACTTTGCAGGACTGTCAGTGTGGGGAGGGCCTGAGGTGCCAGTCTGCCGGGGTTGACTCACTTCTAGTTTAATATTAAAGCCCTACTATCGCTCTGCGGGGCCAGCTTTGTTTGTCACACAGTTACAGTGTCCTTTGTTTTGCCACTGGGCTCTCCACAACTGTAAGAGAACGAAATATCACGGGGTTGTTATGGTTAGGGTTAGGGTTTAGTCAGGATGTGGACAGCTAGGGTTAGTTATTTATATGCACATCTAGTATTTCTCAGGTGCTAGGCATGAGAACATAATCACACAGGTCATGCTATAAAACAACTGGAGAATGCCATATGCCTGGCCTCGCAACAGCAACCCAGAACTATTTATCCTCACGGTGTTGTGCACTTTCCAGGTGGAGGATTGAAGGAGTTGTTTATGCTTCCGATTTATATTAAAACAGCCGTAACCTAACGTCAGCTATTATTTACATTGTAAAATAGGCTTACATCCACATTGTAAGATAATTCGACACTGAGAGTAAGGATATTTAGTGTAAGACTAAAAGGCAATTACAGTATAGCACATCACATTATACTAATGTAGAGTGTTTACTGGCCTTCACAAGAGCAGGGTGTAATAAAATCCATGTTGGTGTGGGTAGATCATTCAGCCAGCAATGAAATAAATGCACAGTATCCTTTGGTGCATGTCCTTCTCTTCTGATGGACTGTACATCCATCCGGCCATTCTATAGATCATAATATGATAGTATGGTATATTATGATGCAAGACACACCTGTCACTTTTTGTGAAATGGGAGGAAGTGAAACTCATGGCTGATTTGTTTACATGAAGAGCTAACCTTAGTAATACATCAGCTGGAGTAATTGTGTTTTCATTACAGGATGATCTATTGCTCTGATAAATATAGGGGGCAGATTTGACAGTGAATCCATCCAGGTGACTTTATATGTTATAGGGGCTATGGAGATGCAGGAATTAAGGCTCCACTGTGACCCAGTCATAGCATCATTTGTGACTGTGAGATATACAAAATATCAAACTGAAATTAGTTTATTCTACTCTTAGCTACATAAGCATGGCTGTAAAAAGTCTGGATATAGTCATATGTCAGCATTATCTTCACTAACAATGAACAGCTTAAGAGGGTTTAGACGACAATGAAAATATATAGAGAAATTCTCTCAGGTCCAGGAGAATGTAAATGTGATAAAAGCAATTTCATGGAGACATGGCCTTAGGATAGCCCTGGTATTGCTACCCAATACCAAGGATCGTCTGTGTGTGTGGGTGTGTATTTGTGTGTGTGCGTGCGTGTGTGTGTGCGTGTGTGTCGGAGCTGGACTTGGTCCGAGACGAGAGTGAAGAGGCTGTCAAGGAGCTAATGTGATGGTTCAAGTGTGCCCATTTGAAACACAGATAATAGTAAGACACTCGCCAACTGAACTGAAGCTTCTCTCGCTAAGAGAACTGTCTGGTCTGTCACTCGTCTGTGATGTATGCTTCATTCACATTCAAATAAAATAAAACTTTATTTCATCATAAAAACAGGCCAAACCTATCACAATAAAGTTAAGGATGGCTGCTTTGGCAAGTCCTACAGGCCCATTCGGACAGACTTTAGTTTCATTGTTTTGGAAGCTGAGACGGTAGCTATAACTGTCTCATTTAGTTTTCACACTATACCGATGAGCGTTTTATTCACCAGATCAGATGCACACAGCAGCTTATAATGGGAGACAGTCAGTGAAGTGTTTGGGTCTTTTCACTCATTAAAGAGAGATATTACAGTAATGATCTGTCTGGGTTTGTTTCCTGCGAGCTTGGCTTTGATTCTACCAGTATTTTAGCTTAGTCTACTCTCAGCGATAACAGTGAACTTGGCCTGAACCGTGAAGATGTCAGTATTTACTTTGTTGTGGTTTTATGACATTTTTGTGCATCACGGAATCACTGTACCATTCTCTCCCATTGTCATGAGAGCTTCTCGTGAGCACTGGAGAAGTAAATCTAAACAAAGGATTCCAGGCCCATTTTGTTGTCTCGTGTCTTAAAACGGGTCTGGAGTAGATTTTAAGTGCACTCCCATGATCTTTTATTTGAGGTCAACATATATAGATAAAAAGGCAAAATACATAGCTAAAAAGTACTTTCCCAAGTATTTCCTATCTTTTGTCTCTTACAAAGTGTCCCTTTTTGTCTTTTTCACTTTTAGCTCAAAACATTTTCAGCTGATTTGTAGTCAAAACGCCAACATGGTGAGTTTTAGGAATGCATTATAGCAGGGCCCTTTCAACAACAAAGACCGATATATACCAAACAACAGTATGCTGCTAGCATACCAGGCCATTGAGGTACTAAGACAATTGTGAGAGTGAGCTAAATGATAAATATATTTCAGATAAAGCTGTGCTCGTATTCGACATGGGTATAACACTGTGAAAACTGATGTCCGAACCCTTCTGCTTCTGTATGGATCCAATATGGGTCAGAGGTATTGGATTTCTGCTTCTTCAACCAAGGGGAATGATGAAACGAGACAGGCAGTTCTTTCTGGGGGGAATATTTGATTTGTTATATTTTCTTTCTGAATCACAAGCATTTATAATCCTGAGCTACTGAAAAATGTCCTGATCGCAGGCGACTTAATGGGTCTCTGAGACAATCTGTACATTGTAAGAATCATACAACCACATACATAGTTATTATTTTGTCTGTGTTAATGTATATGACCACAGAGAGAATGCTTGACAGAGGCAGATAGTGCCGATGTTAGTTGTTATGGGACACTGAAAAATACAGTAGCCTACTGTAGGCCTGTGTTAACATTTTACATTAACCATACAATTACAAAATGTACACAAAGATGGAAACAAACTGATAACGAAGACTCATTCAGGAAAAGTGCATTGATTGTTTTAAAATGACTCATTATGATCATCAAAAATCATAATTCTCTAGAACATATGAATGGTATTATAATTTTTGCTGTAGGCCTACATTTCCCATTCAACATTTTACATAAAACCCAACCTCAAAGGAAAAGTTTTCTGGACGCCAACACAAACAGGCATTAATTTTTACAGACACACAAGTCTGCCCAGCCCCACTCCTCATGTCCATCAAGGGCATGTAAAAGTGCCAGCGTTGTGACACTGCTGGGGTAAACACAGCACTCTGTATGAGGACAGGCCTGGGCAACCGCGCTGAAGGTTGTTTACCACTTGCTGTAAATGGGTTAGAATATGTTTAGCACTCAGGACAGGTGATATGTTGGAAGTTAAACAGGTTGCTGTTTGGATACATAAACTGTTTGGTTCTGTACTGGCTGCTGGGAGTGTGGCGTGAGAAAGACTAAGCAGGAGTTATCCAACCTACCTCCCCGCCCCCCCATAGGGATTCTATAGTGTGTGTGTGTGTGTGTGTGTGTGTGTGTGTGTGTGTGTGTGTGTGTGTGTGTGTGTGTGTCCGTGCAGAGTGTTTACATTCTTCCCGAGGCAGAGAGTGATGGCAGGGCCCCAGGTGGCGGGCTTATGAGCGCAGGACTCATAGCAGGAAAAACAAACAGGGAGAGAGAGAGAGAGAGAGAAGAGAGGGAGAGGAGAGGGAGAGGGAGAGGGAGAGGGAGAGGGAGGAGGGAGAGTGCGTTAGATTGGAGAGCGACTCTCAGCTCTCGAGTATATCGCTATCGGCACGATGCTCTCCGGTCTCTCTCCTCTAGCGATGATGCTCTCGCAGGTATCGTATTCTCTCTTCTTTGTCTCTGCCACGTCATAGCTCGCTTATCTCATCTCTCTCTCATCTCTCTCTCTCTCGCGTTCCTTGTCTCTACCGTCTCTCTCTCTCTCTCTCCTTTGAGAGAGAGCCTGGAGCTTGGGGAAGCTGCTAGAACATAG